CCATAATTAACAATTGTAAACCGCTTTGAGACTCAGATCTGCAGTGAAAAGGCGGTATATAAATAAAGATTACTTACTTACTACTACTATGGCTGATTCTGAGTGTTGCTCCCGCTTGTTTTGGAATGAACACCTGCAGATATTTCTCCTCTGTTTTGTGCATGGATAAAAATACGATTCCAACATTTATACCAATAAATAGCTCTAAATGCAAAAAGCTATTTCTCATGTGCTACTCCAAATGTGCATTCAAAAATGTAGGAGACCGATCAGGGGGCTCCTCAGCAGGGGGCAGGGCTCACGGGCAAGTGGGCGGGGCTTATGGGGCAGGTGGGCGGGTCTGAGCGTGCGCGTAAAAGCTTGCATGTAAAATAAGATGAGATAAACTTTACTGCCCCCAAGGGAAATTAGCTGAGGGATCCAATGCCACACAGATCTGCATGAAAGAATAACAATAAAAAGGTACATAAACAAGGAAGTGAAGAAGTGATTTGAAGTCTCTGTTTTGGTCCAATTCTGTATCAAATAATCAATAATCCTGCTTAAAAACTGAAGACTGAGTTCACACAGTCACATGTTGGGTCTTTAGCGTGTGGCAGGTCCAGTATCACATCCACATAGCCCAGTCGCAGTCGCACATTATGACACAATTTATTCATAAAAGATAATATTGAAATGACTCGGTGTCACTGGGGCAGTTAGAAAACAGCAGAATCCTCCCTCTGAAGCCTTTTCCTTTGTCTTCATCACTAACTGTCACACGCTGAAACAAATCAACAGCAGAATCAGGCAACAATTGCTCCATAAAAATGTGTTGTATGCTTTTCATTTCCACTGATGCGAAGAAAAGGTAGACGTTAAACATTGAGTCCAAAAGATATCGGTCCCATCTCTTTGTTATTGATAAAGATGATTAGTAATGATTAGTAGTTATTAGGACGTACTTACATACATATATGCAAGTCTCGAGGCGGACATTGTTTTCTGACCGTCCAAATGTTTATTCCAGGGGCATTTTTAAGATTATTCTGTGCTCTTTGGCTCAAACTTATCTTTGATCACACACAGTCCTTCTCATTTTGTGTCTTTTGACTTTGAAAATATAGATCCATCCAGTTCATGTTGCCCTGATCTCGGAGCCGCTCTCGTTCCTTTCTTCTGCGTTTGTCGTCCACCCGGTTCCAACACTTTATTATTTAACTTTTATTTAACCAGGAAAGTCCCATTGAGATTAAGAACACACACACACACACACACCTTCAGAAGCTGGTCTGTTATGGGACCCTTGTGTGACCACCACATACAAGTGAAACTCAGACAATTATAATATCATTCAGAGTCTCAGATTCTTTTGTTTGGAAGCATTTGGATGATTTTGGGGTTTTTACTGTGAGACAATTATTAACATTATATCAAATAAAGGATTGATGTAGGCCGCTAAATTAGATTCACATTGTAAGTTAAAACACAGAATAAACTGGACTTTGGAACCATATTTGAACCATTTAATAGTTTCCTTAAACATTTGGTGGATCACTTTTTGAGTCTCTATATCTATTTGAACCTTACTTGGAACTGAAACCTACCTCTTTGGGGCATCGCACTTGGTTTTAGGCACTTTTACATCAAACTGCATATCAGCAATCTGGTAAGGGCCATAATTAAAAGTAACAAGGGGAAGAAAAAAAATCAAAACACATCACAGATTGTGATTGTGTGCGTGTGTGTTGTGAGTGTGTACATGCTGTGTGTCCAGTGGATTTCTCCTGTGGTTCTCCCAGAAATAACCTTTTTCTTTGAAGGAGGACGGTCTGAGGACAGAGAATGCTCCAAAACATGTATCCATTGCTAAATTCACATGTACATTGGTTTATCTGGTTTTCTAATCTGCTCCTGAAAAAAAAGTCCTCCAAGATGGCTGCTGTTGCTCAAAAACATTGATTGGATTTGCTGAATGTGTCGCCCTAACCCTCCTGATAGTTTGGCTCAGTGGTTAGCTCAAGTCCTGGGTTCGATTCCACCTCCAGGACCTTTCTGTGCGGAGTTTGCATGTTCTCCTCGTGTCTGCTTAGGTTTCCTCCAGGTGCTCCAGTTATCCCTACCACTAAAAACATAAATAATAGGTCTGACATGAACTTCCTCTGTGTCTGGTCTGTAAAAGGCACTATATAAAAAAGATTACTTACTTACTTGCGTTCAACGTAAACCATATCATACAAACTGTAAATAACGCACAGGCCCAAAAATAAGTCACATTTTACATGATCACATTTCCCGCGACAGACCGAGAGCCGAGTCGCTCTTCATTTCAAAGCATTTATTTTCATCGCCGTCTGAAGAATTCTGTTTGTAGAAGGTATGTCCCCTGATGTACGCGTCCCTGCAGACTTGGATTGATTCTTTACAGTTCTCACTCCATAGTGGAGTTATAGCCACTCATGCAGACAACAGGCAAATGTGCACCCGATGGTCCAACTGGAAAGAGCCACGTTTTTTTCAGGAAGGAACTTTAAAAGTGTCTTTTTTTAAAATACAACCGGGAATAACATCATGATCCTTAATGATAGAATGTGTCTTTGTCGTGAGAATTGAGAAAAATGAGGCTGTGTACCTGTTTGCATTTTTCCATTAGTGGTGAGGAAACAATCTATTCTTTTTATTATTGCAACATTTTATGCACGCGGTTAAATCGATACAGTAGAATAAAGTATGAAGATATTTAATGAATTACCTGTTTGACTTTTGTGGTTTCTCTGAGTTTACTCTGGTCATTTCCATCTGAGGTTTATGCTTCTCGATGATGTCTGATTTTTGTGACTCTAGAGCAAGAGTGTCAAACCAGACAGGGCAGGTGTGGCTGCAGGTGTTCGTTCTAACCTGAGCAGCAGCAACTTCAGACTCCACCCATTTCCTCAAATCTTCAAGTTAAAACTAGACTCACCTGAGGAAATGGGCTTCAATGTCCATTTAAGGACCAGTTTGACACCCTGCTCTAGTCTGTTGGATGTGAATATGTAAGTTCAGTGCTGGGAGCTCCCTGTTCATGTGAGAGGTCGACTGTTCAGAGAGAATGATGTATTGTTTTTAAAAAGGTCCAGTGTCCTGAATGTCCAAGGATTTTTGCACTTCAGTTAAAGTTACACAGGAGGATTTTCTACTTCCGGGTGGATCATCAAGACTAGTGGTCCTTCTAACTGTCAATCATTCTGGTGCTCGTCAAATAAGACCAGAGAGTTTTGCTCAAAAAGTGGAGAGGAAAGAACCGCTCTTTCCAAAAATTTGTGAAAATCCTCCTTTATGTCTTTAAAGTGCAGACCATAACACATGTGATATTTGAGTTGAGTCTTATTTTCCTCAGCTTTTGTAATGCCTTTGAAAAAAATGAAGGACATAAATCATAATATATGGCAGAATCAAATCACAATACTGTCGCAATAAAACTCAAAACGTCACATTTTTGCCAGTCCCCAGCCCTGGTTGTCATGTTCGATCCTAGTCTTACGTCTGTTGCGTGTATGCCTGCTTGACACATTTGCTTTTGACACTTTGCTGCTTTACAAATCACAGAATCTTCAATTTTTAGATTCATATTTTATGCCAAATAAGCAAAATAAAAAAAGGGAGAAAGAGAGGTGTGAGGAGTCCATGGGGTGGGCACAGATGGCGGTCTATCAAAAATGACTCACAGTATGAGCGGATGAATGGCTTATTAGTGTCGCCCTTCTAATAGTAGCAACTGAGCGAAGGATAAAGGTCAAAGTGTTCTGTCACATACAAAAAACACAGTCGTCCTGGTTAAATGCCCGTTACTCCTGATTCAAGTAGGAGTCATGTAACCCCAGAAGTGCAAAACATGGGCCCACTGCGTGAAATGTCAACAAAACCCCCGATCGTTTCATTTCGTTCTAGAGCTAAAGCAGAAAAAGCAGCCGGTCCAGGTCATAGGTACAGTTTCTCGCCTCCCTGAAACTACATCTGTTTATGACTTGATCTTTGTGGTTAATGAATGTTTTTTTGCTGTAATCCTCAAACTGATTTCCATTAATTCATGATGAAATTATGAGTATTGTCGATTTGTGAGGATTTGCGACCGGTTTCATCACCTGAAGAAGCTTTTTACGATGGTGCATTCAGTGTCTAGTTGTCGTTCAGAAGGAGAGGGCGCCAGAGAAAAAAAAGTAAAAGTAGAGATATATTTTCTTTGAGGGTCTAAGGACAGTGGTGATGATCCAGGACACATGACATTAAAACACATTTATAGATTTTATCAACATTTTTGGACATTGGTCTCTGCCCCTTATGGACCAATGGCTCTATGTGTTTTTTACCATTGCTGTTTGACTGTTTGAATCGCTGATCTGTGTTGGAGAATCCCACGATTTTCTTAAGTTCTCGAGGAAACTACTGTAGTGATTTAGGGCTGTACATGAAAAAATGGAATTGAACAATAAATATAGCTTTAAATGTGGAAAAATCATCAAATAATAACTGTAAAATGAGCTCATGTCGCTTCACCTCTGCTCTGAGAAAGCACTGGACAGAAACAGCATCTACAGATCTGCTTGGACTCACTGTATACATTGTAATGCGTTGTCTATTTATTTTTGTTTGTTTTTTAAATATGGTTGATTTGAGTCTGAAATAAAGATACTGGCGTCCTTTATTCAGCTCTGGAACTCTCTCCCCCTGACGTCCGTGACACAGAGTCTCTCACACTCAAAACTCATCTGTTTAGACCTAAGCCTACTCACTGACACCAAACCACACTTTGTTCATGCTGCTTTTGTGTTTTAACTATTTTTAAGAGCACTTTTTACTTGTATCTGAGGCGACCTTGAGTGAGAGTGAGAGCCTAAGAAATAAAATGTATTATTATTATTATTGTTTTTATTATTATTATTATTTTTGAATGAATGTTACTCGCGTGACATTTCACACAGTGCGTCCCAACCTTTTGAACTTTTTTTAAATGTCTTTTTTGCGCGTCCACAAAGCCTGACTCAGCGGTCTGCGTTCATCCTGCGGAGTTTGGCGGGCAGGTTGTCCTCAGGCCGCCCTCCTGCGAGTGGAGCCGGTCCCTGTGTGATGGCGCTGATACCAGTGGACACCAACCTGTCTCTCTCCGCCTCCAGCTCCTCCGCCTCCCCCTCCAGCGGCAGCAGCTGCACCTGCTCCTCCAGGTGTCCCTGCCTGCCCACTGGGATGGAGCTGGAGCGCAGCCTCTGGATGCTGAGCGGTAAGTCCCCCGTGCTTGAGGCCTTAGCCCCCGGCAGCACGGAGCCGCTGCGCAGGCCTCTCCACAGAAGCTCTTCTCTGGTGGAGCTCATGCGCTGTAGTTTGGGAGGGATCCTGGTGGGTTGCTTCTCTTTGTGGTCTGCAAAGTCCGCCGACAAGAGCCGCTCCCTGCGTCCTGCGGCAGGAGGAGGAACCGAACAATGATGTCGTTAGATCAGTAGGAAAAGTGGAAACAAAAATCACTTGTGGCAGTTTGTGGAATTGTAGGTAGAATCTGCATTACTCCATTACTCTAGCACAGGGGCCTCCAACCACCACTTTTGAATGCGCTAGAAACAGCAGCAAGTCCTAAGTACCTCTGAAACAGTTGTTTTGTGTTTTACAATTTTAAAGGAGCAGCTTGTCTCGTTCTAGTCCTGAACACCCGTGCTAGTGTTAAACTCTCAGAAACTGTAATATTGATGATGTTATAGTATTTGTAATTGGTCCACTCTGGAATGATTAATACAACATTCATTCATTCATGCATTAACAATAACCTTCAGTTTCTCACTTTTTCCCACAGTTTTCTTTTAGTTCCTTGCTGATGTAGGAGGGTCTAAGGACAGTGCTGATGATCCAGGACATTTATGAACATTTATTGACATTGAATCAATTCAGTTCCATTTATTATTGTATAGCCCTAAATCACAACAATAGTTATCTTGAAGGATTTTGAATCAAACAGTTCAAACACAAGAAATGCAATGAAAAAAACACAATAGAGCCATTGGTCCATAAGGGGCAGAGACCAATGTCCATAAATGTTGATAAATGTCAAGTGTCCTGGATCATCACCACTGTCCTTGGACCCTCCTGCATCGACAAGGTTAGAATCTAAAAACCAAGTGGGAGAAAATTGAGAAACCTCAGGGGGACCCACATTGAGGGAGGGATCTGTCATGGACGGACGGGCTGTAGATCCAGGACTTTTAGAACGAGGACCGAGGCTGTTGGACGTGGTCATCTGCTCTGTATGGACCAATGGCTCTATGTGTTTTTTCACTTTTTGATTCTCTGACAGCTTTGTAAAGTCCTCAAAGATAACTGCTGTTGTGATTTAGGACAATACAAAAATAAATGGAATGGAATTATCGCTGTACATTTACCTGGAGCGCGTGTGTTGTTGTTGCCCAGAGGGGGTGAAGGTGGCGTGGGTGTGACGGCCAGGGGGTTGGGGGAGGTGATGGAGGACTTCTCTTCCTGCTCCTTGACGCTGTGTGGGGGAGTGGGGACCTCGAAGGTGTTGTGGAACTGGGAATAGTCCACTCTGAAGAAGCCCTCCTCCAGCGACATCACCGGGAGGAAGCGGTGGCCCCAGAGAACCTCGTCCTCGGTGTAGGACGTCCGGGCCTGGCAGGTCATCCCTACGGTCCCATTTGATCAGAAGAAAAACATGGAGCCACTTAGTAATTCTCTTTGGAAAATGTCAACTAATTTAGTCGACAGAAATGCAGAAAGTAACGTTGAAATAGTGGTCTGTGGTTCCTTGCTCCTTCCTGAAAATATGAGACAGGCTTTGATGTTGTTTGAAATTCAGGTTGAAAACAGTTCTGTCGCACTGTTCATACAACTGAGGGATTGTCTCTTCATTCTTTCATCTATTTTGTGTTATTTACAAAATAGATGAAAAAATGAAGAGACTTTTTCTTTGCAGTCATTCATTAATCAATAAACAGAACAAGCAGTTATGTGAATAGATTATGTACGTATTCAAAAAATAATAATAATGACACTTCTCGGACGTCAAGTTTGTGTACGGTCTATCACCAATTGTTCCTTTTACACATGTTTAGGTAATCTCTTTTTCTCTTCCGAAAAAAACACACACAATCACAAGTTTAGTTTTTAATTATTGACCAAATATGTGCAAACTTTAGTCTTCATCATCACCCTTCATGAATAAATATGAAAGTAAATCTGTTGGAGGTAGATTCACTTTTCTAATGTACCTGGAGAGAAACCCCATTTTACTTTGGATTCAATATTTCAATAGACATCTGTGTGCTGTACATGTGGTGCTTGTTCTGATTTCCCGGCCGTGGATTGGAGAAGCCTAATCCTGCTGTAACACGACGTGATAGACGTGGATCCTCGGTGTCCACTTCTAAAGCCCCTATTATCTGTGACTCTTGCTCCATCATGAATTCCTTATAAATCCTTTCAACAAGCTCAGAATGTACCTAAATCTAAAAAATACTCATCATGTTTTTTTGAGTTTTTTCTCTGTCTTTACTAAAAGAAATCTGCATACATTGGTGTCTGTGCTGCCCTGGGGCACACTGACAGAAGCGAGGCAACCAGTATGTGCCATCAGCCTCTCCATCCACCACTAACCATTCACACACACACCAGACTCATTCGAATGTGGCAGAGTTTGGCCACAGTTTGGCACTTTACTGTGTCACGTTGCGTTCCCAGTGGTCTCCCATCACAATACTAACCAAGCCCTGCCCTCCTTAGCTGCATAGGTCTGGCTTTCACATGCAGTTGATGACCATGTACACACCGGTGGTCTCCACGATGCCCTCCAGGATGACCACGATCTCAAACTGTTCGTTGGAGAGCGACCGCTGCGACAGGTCGAAGAACGGACTCTTGGTGTTGATCTCGTGACAGATGGTCAGCGGCGACACCAGGAAGAGCTGGTCTGCCCCGGTCCCGAACCCCACGTCCAACTCGCACTGATCCAGAGGCAGGAACTCGCCCTCCGGAGTCTGCCGCGACTGCCGGGACAGAAGCAAGGGTTTTATTTTCACACCGAAGGTCTTTTGCTTTTGTCGTATCTAAATGTTTGTGTTGACGTTTGGGGACATTGTTACGAATTCCATTCACAGCCTTTAATTACTGTACATATCAAAAAAGACCATTAGGATTGTACCAAAAGTCCAATCCTAATGGTCTAATCACTGGAGGCATTATTCTAATCCATTGTTTATTGAATTAACAGAACTTAAACTGCAGGATGTGATTCACTTTAAAACTGATCTAAAAGTTTTAAAACTCTATATTCTAAAACTTTCTGCCCAATTTACAAAACCGACTCCATGACAGAGATGCTCACCAGTTACACACTCAGAGGAAACAAAAAACGATATGTACCTAAATCTAGAGCGAGGAGTTTCTCTCTGGAACGATTTAGCAGAAGCAATAACAATATTTTCAAACCTGTTATAATTTTAAAAACTATTTCAAAACAAAGTGTTGAAGAGAGGGGTAGTGCGTGTGTGTGTGTGTGTGTGTGTATAGGCCTTCTGTGTGTCTAATACCCCATGGCAGGGTATTGTATATTACTGTATGTACATAATAATCTGAATCTGAATGGTGAGAGGGGGCAAATACGCGTCTGCTTCATCCAACCCCTTTTTCAAACCTGTATCAGTCTAAAAATATATGAAATTGTGTTCTGCAGGTTTGAAATACATTGAACCAACAAACGAACATCACATTCCAAATCTCAACAAAACAGAGTCAATCATGAGCAGAATGTTTATTATACTTTGTTGGCAGCTTCCTGAAGGACTCCCTCATCTTTACCGTCTCATGCAAGAAGAAGTCTTTTGTTCAGAGCAAAAGCAGTTTCATGAGGTTTTAAATAACCAGGACATCTCCAGGGGAGCCTTTAAACCTGACACATACGCTGGTTGTTTGTTTGTATGTATTTTTTTCTGCTGTAATCCAAATGCAATATTTGATGTTGAGGGTTACTGGAAATGGGTTTGAGAAAAGGCAATTTTCTTTGGACGTTTGACTCGTTTGACCTGAAATGGGCTGGAGGTGAGGGATTTAAAAAGGGGAAGAGGTGGCTTTGGAATCTGTCAAGGAGAAACCCGGTTGATAAGGTACAGGAGACGCATGCTTTCAGAGAAAACAAGATGCTTTCTGAAACAACAGAAAAGTGAAAGGATCAATTTGCAATAGTCTGTGAATCACACGTTTTTAGTTTTCTTACATAAGTTTTAAAATTGTGGAACATTATTTTTATTAGTCCAACAGTGGGGAAATGTCAAAGTGACATTCAGCAACATTCTGCAAGTTGCAGTATTGCACATGATTGCAGTATTTACTTTTTACAGACGAGATGACATATACTCTGACTGCAGCAGGAAGGAAAGACCTGCAAAACCTCTCCTTCACACAGCGAGGGTGAATAAGTCTGTCACTGAAGCTACTCTCCAGAGCAGGCAGAGTGTCCTGCTCGGCGACAGTCATGGTCCAACATGAACTCAATGAATGTAAAAAGTTAATTACGTTTTCTTATGTTTAATGCTTTGAAGGCAGCTGTTGTTACCGGATGCGATCAGTCTGACAGACCAGTAACCACAGCAACGGAGACACGTCACACCATCACGTGTCTCCTCTGACAAAGACGGAAGTTAACCAGCAAAACATGTCAGGTAATTAAGCAAGCACTAGCTTCTTTACTTTATCGTCCTCAATAATGAACTCATGACAGATACATTTGTCATTGCTTTCCCTGCTTCCTTTTGACCATGTTGTCATGGCGATGTATGAATATGCCTGTTTCATTACATGGAGACTGGTCTATTTATTAGTTTCATTCACTTTTTCACTTTTCAGTCCTCAAAAATAAATCCGTCTTGTGATGAGGGCAGGACCACTTCCTGTGTAATACATGAGGCAGAGGGCCACTCAAAGCCGCTTGCTGCTTATGTCTTTTTGCAGCCTCCAACATACCAGATCTTGCACCATCCTTGTAATCCATATCTGTATCTATCTATCACTTTAACAGAGACTCCTCCCTCCTCCACACACACAGACAACCTCAGCACTTGGCTTCCACTCAGCCGTCACCACTGTCAGCATCAGCACTTCTACACAAGGACTCAGGAAAACATGACAAGAGACACAAGATCATCTTCATCGTCATCATCTTCATCATCATCATCAGTATAAGGCAAGGAAAGGCAAGTTGATTTGTACAGCACAATTCATACACAAGGCAACTCAAAGTATAATGTGTGTTCATGTTTAAGTTAAATTCAATGTATTCTTGTTTAGCCCTAAATCACAACAGTAGTTTTTGGGAGGACTTCACAAAACCAGTTCAGCAACACAGATCAGAGAATCAAACAATTCAAGAAATGCAAAGATAAAAAACACAGTGAGATATTGGTCCATAAGGGGCGGGTGACCAATGTCTAATGTTGATAAAGTCCTTAAATTGTCATTACTACACTCTGTGTTAAAAAAAAGATGTTTGAACAATTGCTGAAACTTATTATATCTGTCACAACCGTATTTTGTCAACATTTGAAAATAAAGATGTGAAAATATGTTTTTTTTTTTGAGTGGCCTGGATCATCACCACTGTCCTTAGATCCTGTGACTGGGGCATTTTTGTAAATAGTGGTTTACAAATGAACAAATAAGAGCTGTCATAACAGTTAATTTCTAGATACTAATAAATGCTAAATAGGAATTGAAAGTCGTCTAAAATGTATGCTCATCCTGTAGACTCTGTGGAGGAGGTGAGGGACAGGAGGGTGCTAATCAAAGTCACCTCCATCATGGACAACACCTCCCACTGCACAGGACTGTGGAGGAGCTCTCTCAGTGTACGAACGAGCGCCACTGCAGGGCCTTTATCCCCACCGCTGTCAGACTGTACAACAAGTCACTTTAAGCCACTTGCATTAGGACTAAAAAAAACCTGCACTACTATTGACACTGTTTCTTGATTGCCACTTTTGTACATACTACATGTATATCCTGCATTTAACATGTTTGCACATTTCTTACTTTTGCACAATCTTGAGTGATTCTGTCCATGCCAGATGTGACATAAATTTCTCATGTGTGAGATCAATAAAGATCTTATCTCATTTTCAGGTGTTTTCTCTGTGAAGGAAGTTTGTTTTTGTCTGTGAGCCTGTTGAAAATGTTTCAATACAGTCCATAGTGTTCAGGTTCAATAGGCTATATGTCATCATTTTAATATGTTTTAATAATCGTTGAAACAATCCGGCCCTCGGCTTGTAGCAAATTTATTTTTTTGGCCTTTGAAATATTTGACTTTGACATCCCTGTTTCAGATAGAATGAAGAAAGAGCAAGCATTTTATCAGACAATCTGCGTCACAGCAAAGAGGCCTATTTACAGATGTGAGCTACAACAGAGACAAAACTAAAGTCGCCGTGACCTGATCACTTGAGTATATTGTCTTGTGTTTGTCCATTTTGTGAAGGCCAGTTCTCAAACAACAACTGATGTATCAAAACAAAAGCAATGCTTATGTTTCAAAACCACTTCTCTGCTTATCAAAGCACTTCTCAGGAAATAACTCAACCACAGCGACTGCAGAAGGTGGCAGCAGCCGGTCTATGATGTGTATGTTACGACCATCAAAGCACTTTTTCAATCTCATAACAATGCACGGCCATTTATCAAGCGTTCGCGCATGCTGAAGTGATTAGCACTTAACATTGAGACAACTGTCCCATGGAACTCAACCATTAATCTGCACACTTTTATAAACAACTGGCACATCTGTAGATTAGCCCACCTCAGATTAAGATTCTCACTTCCTCAGTTCTAAGTAGGCTGGATTACTGTAATGGCCTGCTCACAGGTATCTCCAAACATGCAGTAAAACAGCTGCAGTATATTCAAAATGCTGCAGCCCGAGTCCTGACTAGAACCAGGAAGTACGACCACATTAGTCCGGTCCTCAGGTCTCTGCACTGGCTTCCCGTGGCCCAGAGGATAGACTTTAAAGCAGCTCTCCTGGTGTACAAGTCTCTCCATGGCCTTTCACCAAAGTACATCCATGATATGCTAGTCCCATATGAACCAGCCCGGACTCTGAGGAGCGCAGGGACGGGACTCCTGTTAGTGCCCAGAGTCAGGACTAGACAGGGGGAGGCTGCTTTTCAGATTTATGCAGCTAAAGTCTGGAACAGTCTTCCTGAGGATGTGAGACTGGCTGCCTCTCTGTCAATGTTCAAATCCATGTTAAAGACTTTTCTTTTTTCCTGTGCATACAACTAAAGAATTTTATCTTTTTAACACACCTTGTTATTTATTGTTGTAACTTTTTGTGTTTTTAACTATTTTATTGTTTTTAATTACTTGTGTGATTCTTATGTTTTTAAATTACTTATGTGATTTTAATGCTTTTTAATTACATATGTGTTTTTAATTTTATTTTAATGGTGATGATTTGTGCATTGTGTGGTGTGGACTGTGAGGCGCTTTGTGTTGCCCTGTGCAGGAAAAGCGCCCTATAAATAAAGATTGATTGATTGATTGATTGATAAAAAAAATTCAGCTTGTTAACCAGCCACATTCAACTCTGTATGTTTAGGAACAAACGCGACAAAGCATGAATATAATCATGTCAAAATAAAGACAACAGCTATTTTCCATCTGTTGCCCCAAAAGCCTGCAGCATAAAACACTCCAATTATAATAAACAATGAATAAACAATGATAGATAACATTAAAACCACAGACATTGTTATTGTTCTTCAGTAAACGCTCTCTTGAATCCGAGGTTGCGCTCCTCGATGGTGAAGTGCAGATTATGTTAAGCATTGTGCTAAATTGCCAAACTAAATTCATCAAACCCGCATCCATATCACTATAGTTAAGTCCCGTAGTGTTAGGTCCACAAAGCTCTCCTCTTCTCTGCTTGGCAGCAACAAAACAGTTTTACCCATTCGCACTCTTGTAGAAATCTAACTGGGGTTATGAATCAATTCAA